CAACCAGCATGAATCATAAGTGCTGTAATTCTTCAACTATTAACCTGAACTTGCTAAAAGAAAGTCTGCATTTCAACCATATAGCTATTTAATACTGACAGTAATTGTTCTATGAAACCCAAATAAATTTGGATATTGATGTTGAGCACTTTGGCAGAGAAGCTGTGCAGTACACTTAATTAAGTTAGAAGAGAAGAAGTTTTCCATCACATTTCTGACTGAAAACAGAACACACATTTCCCTAAACCTGTGAAATGGTCATCGGGACTCGATTTATTGGATCTAACAAATATAATTATTGACACTTTTTCATTTCCAGCACTATATGAACCAATATGGAGGTCTCGCTGTTTTTTTTCTTTCCTTCTTTATAAAAAGTTGCCATATTCCAGTATCTGTCTGTATTTATGTTGTTGCATAAATTCATAGTGTAGCACTTGTAGGGGGGACATCTACTTCCCGAAGGTACATTGGAATTAAACTTTTTTCACCTTCAGGTATGTGCTGTATCCCCTGGACTTGTACAACGACAGTGCACACTACGCCCTGACCAAATTCAAGAAGCAGTTCCTCTATGATGAAATAGAGGCTGAGGTAATAAAATATCTGGTGTATGTACAGGATGATTTGATGTGATAGAGAAGCAACAACACAGTGTCCCCTTTCCATAACAGTTGTGCACGAACAAATTCTATGCAAATAATAATAATTGGGTTTAATGTCAGTTCTTCCCTGTTTTGATGGTGTCACAGATTGAAACATGTATTCTCAAACCTAGCTATATGTTCATTTGAATCTGTTTTGTTATTTCAGGTGAACTTGTGCTTTGATCAGTTTGTCTACAAGCTGGCTGATCAGATATTTGCCTACTATAAGATTCTAGCAGGAAGGTAGGTGAAATATCTGTACACTTCTTTTTCCTTTGGGAAGGATGTGTTGGGTTTATTACTGTACATATTAGTACAACCTGAGTCAGTTATAACATTTTAAAGCTAAGTGTTGCCTCTAAGAGTTCATGAAAACTTGTTAGCAAGCTTGTGGAGAATAGAAAATAGTTATCTAAAAGTTCAAATAATTACCTTAAATAGTTAGCCAAAAGTAATAGATGAACAGGTTGTTAGTTGAAAGTGATGGATAGCCAGTTTGGATAATGGACTAAAATTAATAGATATATAAATGGTCAAAATAGTTGGCTAAAAGTACAGAAATAAGAGTTGATATACACTGCTAAAGAAAATAAAGCACTGCCAGAGCCCTGCAAAATGACCTCCAGCAGGCCACAAATGTGCATGTGTCTGCTCAAACAGTCAGAAACTGACTCCATGAGGGTGGTATGAGGGCCCGACGTCCACAGGTGGGGGTTGTGCTTACAGCCCAACACCGTGCAGGACGTTTGGCATTTGCCAGAGAACACCAAGATTGGCAAATTCGCCACTGGCGCCCTGTGCTCTTCACAGATGAAAGCAGGTTCACACTGAGCACATGTGACAGACGTGACAGAGTCTGGAGACGCCGTGGAGAACGTTCTGCTGCCTGCAACATCCTCCAGCATGACCGGTTTGGCGGTGGGTCAGTAATGGTGTGGGGTGGCATTTCTTTGGGGGGCCGCACAGCCCTCCATGTGCTCGCCAGAGGTAGCCTGACTGCCATTAGGTACCGAGATGAGATCCTCAGACCCCTTGTGAGACCGTATGCTGGTGCGGTTGGTCCTGGGTTCCTCCTAATGCAAGACAATGCTAGACCTCACGTGGCTGGAGTGTGTCAGCAGTTCCTGCAAGAGGAAGGCATTGATGCTATGGACCGGCCCGCCCGTTCCCCAGACCTGAATCCAATTGAGCACATCTGGGACATCATGTCTCGCTCCATCCACCAACGCCACGTTGCACCACAGACTGTCCAGGAGTTGGCGGATGCTTTAGTCCAGGTCTGGGAGGAGGTCCCTCAGGAGACCATCCGCCACCTCATCAGTAGCATGCCCAGGCGTTGTAGGGAGGTCATACAGGCACGTGGAGGCCACACACACTACTGAGCCTCATTTTGACTTGTTTTAAGGACATTACATCAAAGTTGGATCGGCCTGTAGTGTGGTTTTCCACTTTGATTTTGAGTGTGACTCCAAATCCAGACCTCCATGGGTTGATAAATTTAATTTCCATTGATAATTTGTGTGATTTTGTTGTCAGTACATTCAACTATGTAAAGAAAGGAGTATTTAATGAGATTATTTCATTCATTCAGATCTAGGATGTGTTATTTTAGTGTTCCCTTTATTTTTTTGAGCAGTGTAATTAGCTGAAAGTAAAACAGTTGAAATAATTAGCTAAAAGTATTGGATAAACAGTTGAAGAATCCAAGATCCAGTAGTAGAAATGCAAAATTGTGAAATCACACAAAATACTAAATCCACCTGAATACTGTCAATTCAACTGAATGAAAACAATAATGTTGCAGTATCTACTTTTTGGAGGGTTGTTAAACATTTTACTTTTAATCAAGATAACACATTTGGAACATAGCGGATGATATCTCTGAAGGGGTACTCATAAAGGGATGTGGGTGGATATCAGGTGCTGTTCTAATGCCCTTTGTTCCAGAAGAAATTGTTTTAAAACATGCACTCACACTTTTATGGAAACACCCTGTGCAAGTAACTTGACTCGTTCTCTGTTTATTTGAATCCCTTAGTCTTCTGCTTGACAAACGTTTGAGAGCTGACTGCAAGAACCAAGGGGCCAACATTCCCTGGCCGTCCTCCAACCGCTACGAGACACTGCTGAAACAACGCCACGTCCAGGTATATACTGGACCAATTATGCATATTGACCACTCTATGCCACCATCTTCATTATTTTGGCATCATGTATTGTCCTCCTTACTGATTGTGAATCTTAGCTTCTAGGCCGCTCCATTGATCTGAACAGGCTCATCACTCAGAGGGTTTCAGCTGCCCTTTACAGGTCCCTAGAGCTGGCCATCAACCGCTTTGAGAGTGAGGACCTCACCTCAATCGTGGTATGTTCAGGTTATTTTAATCTTTATGAGTGAATAACATCCTGTTTTTTTTCTGAGTATTTTTGTGTTTACTATTAGATTCTACCATGTGTGTTGGTGTGCAGTTATGGACTTTTTCTGTGTATTATTTTGTTAAAGGAACTGGAAGGTCTTCTGGACATCAACCGCATGACGCACAAGCTACTCAGTAAGTTCTTGACTCTGGACAGCTTGGACGCCATGTTCCGGGAGGCCAACCACAATGTGTCGGCCCCCTACGGCCGGATAACGCTGCACGTCTTTTGGGAGCTCAATTATGACTTCTTGCCCAACTACTGCTACAACGGCTCCACAAACAGGTGTGTTGAGTCACAATCAACTGTCGCTGTCAATACAGTGCCTCTCCTTTCTGAAGTTAGAGTGTAGTGGTGGTAAACTACTTAGCTAATTAACTCTAACATATGTTTAAAGAGATATAGTGCACAATAGCTATCAAGCTGTTGTGTAGGGCATTAATATTTCTTTTCCAATGTTTGGTTTGTACATATTTTATTTCTGCTGTTTGCTCACTCATGTCTGTGATAATAAAGCAATTTCTGCAAAACTATTCAGCTACAATAATTATTAGAAACAATGCCTGCAATTATAGTATATCACAAAAGTGAGTACGTCCCTCACATTTTTTTAAATATTTGATTATACCTTCTCATGTGACAACACTGAAGAAATGACACTTTGCTACAATGTAAAGTAGTGAGTGTACAGCTTGTATAACAGTGTAAATTTGCTGTCCCCTCAAAATAAAACATCACACAGCCATTAATGTCTAAACCACTGGCAACAAAATTGAGTACACCCCTAAGTGAAAATGTCCTCAGGTGTGAATGGGGAGCAGGGCTGTTTAATTTGGTGTTATTGCTTTCACATTCCGTCATACTGGTCACTGGAAGTTCAACAAAAGTTGAGTACACATGCTCAGCGTCATATCCAGAGGTTGTCTTTGGGAAATAGATGTATGAGTGCTGCCAGCATTGCTGCAGAGGTTGAAGGGAACAGATGGTGTCAAGCGTGTGTGGCGGCAACCAGGTGAGGAGTTCAAAGACAAGTGTGTCTTGCCTACAGTCAAGCATGGTGGTGGGAGTGTCATGGTCTGGGGCTGCATGAGTGCTGCCGGCACTGAGGAGCTACAGTTCACTGAGGGAACCATTAATGCCAACATGTACTGTGACATTCTGAAGCAGAGCATGATCCTCCCTTTGGAGACCAGTATTCCAAAATGATAATGACCCCAAACACACCTCCACTGCCTTGCTGAAGAATAGGGTAAAGGTGATGGACAGGCCAAGCATGTCTCCAGACCTAAACCCTATTGAGCTTCTGTGGGGCATCCTCAAACTGAAGGTGGAGGAGCGCAATGTCTCTAATGCCGCGTTCCAGACTGCTCTGAACTGGGAAATCTCCAAGTTGTAATATACAACTTCCAACCTCAAAGCGTCCCAGGGGTGTACTCACTTTTGTGAGATACTGTATCTACTGCGTGACTAGGGGAGGAAGCCTGTGTGTGTGTGTGTGTGAACCTCCTGCCATCCTAGTTATTTGCCTTATACCCTAATGTCGTCAGCGATACATGTTTAATGAATGTCTCTGTGTGTTCAGGTTTGTGCGCACCGTCCTGCCCTTCTCTCAGGAGTTCCAGAGGGACAAACCACCCAATGCTCAGCCCCAGTACTTGTACGGGTCAAAGGTCAGTACACGTTACTTTATCATCAGCCACAGAGAAAGCATGGTCCTTTCACTTTATTTGCTTGGATTCCATGAGTAGAGGACATTTTTTAAATAATTTTGGCCATTACCTGACTGGCTGTGTATGACCTCTTGAGTCCACATGTAGAAGCCAAACATTCACAACATGTTAGTAATATATATATCTATAAATTACAAGTGAAAAAGCATCATTATGGGAAACAATGTGTGTGAAATATCTTAAAACATGTGCGAGGTAATGGCATGCAAGTGTTTTGTATGCAGAAACTTAAATTTATATCACATGAACGCTGTGATCAAAAAGGCCTTCATGAGCTTCTCGTTATTTACAGGGGAAACATTAAATAGAACAAATGATATAGACAGGATCAATTATTTGTGCACAAGTGCAAAACATTGACTAAAACATTGAATGACTAAATCCAGCGCACGGATTACTAAATCCCGAGCCAGGATTATTAAATCGAGAGCACAAATTAGTCGGGTTTTTTTTCTCCATAGGATTTCAGCGGATAAAAATACTCAGTGACAATTCAGTCTGGGCAGAACAATGCTGTGATGACCTCAATCCAGTTGATTCATACTGGCTCAGTGCCGGATAGCTTAGCGAGCGCCCTCAGTTCACGGTCCTGGGTAATTATGTGGCCACTGGTCTGCGCTGAGAGGAGGGGGGGTTGCATGATGCTGGCATGTTTGGCGCTGTCCTCACTGCTTCTTCTGGGAGTGTAGAGGCGTCCAGACCCAGACATGTCTTGGCGGGATGAGTTGGTCAACACATGGCAGTTTTCTGCAGCCTGACTGGGAATAGAGCAGATGGTGTGGAGACATCCCCACAATAGGATGCCAGCGATGACCAGGAGCAAGATGCAGCAGGTCAGCCAGACGCCCATGGCGAGCTCCCAGCCAGCTCGGTCGTGACCTTCGCTGCTGTCACTCAGAGTGCTGAATACCTGGCACTGGTCCCGCACCGGATTGGCCGCCTGACACGTCACACACAAGAAGTAGGCGGTCTGGGGTATGAGGTTGGCCAGGTGTGTGGTGGTCTGACTGACGGGAATGCGTTCCTCGTGCATGAAACTCTTGCGCTTGTAGCCCATCAGCAGGCTGTTCCAGTTTGGGTCATACATGACGCTGTAGAAGGTGTCCCGGCAGCTGGGCAGCGACGGCCAGCTCACTCGGGCCGCGGTGGCTGAGATGTTGTAGACTGCGATCCCCATGGTGCAAGGTTGTTTCTGTAGTCCTAGTGTCTGTTTCTAGAGCCGAGTTGGTGTTATTGAAGTATTCCCTCAGTTATTACAGTCTAACAATATAAAACATAACTGGAAAAGAGAAAGAACATAAACACTGTAAGACACTGAGAGATTACTGTACATTTTGTCCCAGTAATTTCAGATTTTTATGCTTCTCACGATTGGAGCTTTTATATTGAGCCTCCATCACAAGCAGTCATTAAATCAGCATGAAAATAGCAGGTTTGTTGGTGTTGTGTTTTGTGTGATTACAGACTGTATTGACTACTTTGATTACAGCACCTTTCCTGACTTGAATGTCATGACCCCCTACCATCCTACACCCACACCATACAAAGCATGCAAAGTAAAGAACAATATGAGAGGATAATAAGCATTGTATAAAGGATTATCAAATTACATAATGCAGAATGATTTGTGATGAAGCTCATCTGTGCTGTTAAGTGACCTGTTACAGGACAGGTGATGATCTGACAACCTTGAATAGTTTGGCCTGTGGTTTTAGCTTTGACTTGAGTATTATTTGCATTATTTATTAAAACTTAGCTTTTTTCGTGTATAGAATACAAAGTAATGGCATAGTCACCACAGATGTCAGGTGGTGGCAATAGAAGCCTTTCAGGTGTTTAACATTGCCTAAACTGGAAGGGGAAACTGAGGCACAATTCTCAGAAAAGCCCAAGTTTGAATTACTTGTTATTGACATGAGACCAAATGTGAAATAATGAACTGCAAGTATTCACCACTTGTACTAATGCAGAGAGGGTGTGGTGCTTGTAGGGAATAAGGCACATTTAAAGTACATGGTCTACTTATGTTATTTTTCCTCTAACTAATCAACTTTCTAAATAGGCCATCATAAAAATGACTAAAGCGGTAAAATTTTTAGACACAACATATTTGAAAAACAGTTGAAGGTTTTAAGTCAGTTTAAAAAAAAAAACAACAACAGCTTTTTAACATTTAATTCAAGCCACCAAGATTACATCTGACTTCTAACATACGAGTAACTGTGGAGATACCTATATTTTTCCACCAATACAATTCAGTAAATGCATCCTTTCACGTGTGTTGTTTTTTTTGTTGTTTTTTTTTTTGCCCTGTTGCATCAGCTGTAACCCATAGCAACCCATACTTGTCTGTATGGTAATGAGTCATGTTAAGAAAATCATTAGTGGTCATCTATTCAAAGCATGATAGAAGGGAAGACTTACCAGGAAAACACTGCGGCCATGTGTTGAACATACCAATCTTTCGTGCCTGAGGATTTTGTTTTCGGATCGACTGTCCTGTGGTCCTTCTATTCAGTCATTTTACCATCTAGTCCACTGTATCAAGAGCTCTGACGCCAGGTGCTGCTGTGTAGGTTTTCAGCCTGAGGAGGGGACTGGATTGGTGTGTCCTTGTCTCCGCTGCTGCCACACTAGTGGGAGTGCTGCTGGATTAGAGCAGCAGCAGCTTCAACTAACTCTCTGCCGACGGGGGTAGGGGGGGCCAGAAATCTCTTGCAGCGGATGTTAGAAAATATTGTAGTGTGTAATATTGTAAGCAGTTCAACATCCAAATGGGTCTTTTTTATGTGTTAATAGTTGTAAATGTAGCTGCTCTGATATTGTTTTCTGTTCCCCTTTTTCCCTTCTGGTTAATCTGCAGACATTGTAATGATAAAGATCATTAATTTCCCCCTGACCAGCACTTTTGTCCATGGCATGGTATCTTAAAATCTAGTGGTGGGCTGGCGGTTGGGTGGGAAGGCTGGTGTGTGTGTGTGTGTGTGTGTGTGTGTGTGTGTGTGTGTGTGTGTGTCTGTTGGGGGGGCGGCGGCATCATTTTATAAATCCATCTGTCCAACAAAGTCTCTCAACAACTGCTGTCCAGATTGTCATTATGATTGTCATTGTAATACTTTGGATATTCATGGACCCCAGAGGATGATTCCTAATATTGCCAGTGACCCCCTGATACTGGCGTTCCCATCGAGCAGATATTTTCACTTGTACACAAAATATCAAATCTTATCAGCAGATTTCCTTTGCATTTTTAATTATCTAGTGCTTTCCTCTACCACCGCCCTCAGGCTAAAATCTAAACTCACATCAAAGATGGCTCATAATCTAGTGTTGCCACTGGGCAACAAGTAGGGTTATTAAAGATTTAAAATAACCATACTACTTTTTTTTTTTTTCATTTGGAACTTCCGTACATACAAAAACAACTCCTGCTTTTTATTTACAATTTCACTCTGCTCCGTGTTTTCTGGTCATTGTCTTTGGCGGCAGTTGGCAAACCAGCTTAGAGGTGTGTTACCGCCACCAGCTGTCACACTCAAAGTGAGAACGTGTTAATCACTCCTGCTGCTCAGATCACGCTACCTTGCGAGGCAGCTGGATTGGCCGTCATATTGCCTAACCCTACTCCCTGATGCATCATGGATGGTGGAAGCATACAATGCTTATTGAAGTGATGACCTAAGTGTTGGAGCGCTGAGTTTTCTCATCCTCACCTGTCTTCCCTCTCCATGTAGACCTTGAACCTGGCGTATAGCAGCATATATAGCTCCTACAGGAACTTTGTGGGTCCCCCGCACATCAAAGTCATGTGCAGACTGCTGGGTTACCAGGGCATCGCTGTGGTCATGGAGGAACTGCTGAAGGTCGTCAAAAGCCTGGTGAGTAGGACATTAAGCAGTGGCTGTGTGTGGGAGGCATCATTTTAGTGCTGGAAATTCCTGCTGTTGCAGAACAGAATATGATTTGGAGGAGAGGTTAAAAGAGGTTTATAAAACATAAAAAAGGGACTCTTTGTGTCTGTTCATCATTCTTTCCTCTTATATGATTTTCAGTTAATTATTTAACTGTATACACTGCTGCTCAATGCTGTCCTTCTCTTGTGTAGCTTCAGGGCACCATAATGCAGTATGTGAAGACCCTGATGGAGGTGATGCCCAAGATCTGCCGACTTCCGCGCCATGAGTACGGTTCCCCAGGTAACGTGACCATGTACCTTCTACTTGTTGCAAGATTGATCGAAGAGTAATCGACTTGCCCAAAGTAAAACTTGTGGATTTATTTGAATTGAAAAAGACAAAGTTCATTACGACGCACATAACTGCATTTTATTACCTTTCCTTGGAGAAGGGATTTAGATGACGCCTGTTAACTGCGCCAAAATGATGAAAATAAAAATGGCTCTCTTCCACAGTGTTTCACATTAGTTTCCTTATCCTGCAGAAATCCTTTATTTTAAAATAAAAGGTTTATTTTAAAACCTCAGGGTCTGCAACTGAAAAAGAATTGCTCACAAAAATGTCCCTTGGAGGCTGAGTCAGGAGGTAACGCTTCAGTTGAAAGGACCATGCTGTGCAACCACTAAGAAGGAATTATTTTTAAAGCTTTAATTGATCAAATGCAAGGGGAACTAGTCACATCGTTAAGGAAAAAGAACACCTGCTTGAGCAAATAACCTGGCATCAATTCTCCATAAAGTACTAGAACTAGGTTTGTCCTGGTTTTGCTCATATTGCTCATATTGCTTTGCATTGCATATTGCTCCTTTTCAGTTTTTTTTATATAACTGCAGGAGAACAGAGTTAGGAACGAATCACACGGAGTAGCCTCATTTTACAGACCTCTACACTTAAGACATCTGAGATAAAGGGGGAGATGAGATGTTTTGACCATTTCTTTTTAGGTATCCTGGAATTCTTTCACCACCAGCTGAAGGATATTGTTGAGTACGCTGAGCTCAAGACAGTGTGTTTCCAGAACCTGAGGGAAGTGGGCAACGCCATGCTGTTCTGTCTACTGAGCGAGCAGAGTCTGGTATGGATCTTAGTTGGAACAAACATTACTGAATTTCACTTATTCAGGATGCGATTAAAATGTGTGTTCATACTTTTTTTTTTTTTTATACTTATATGTCAGTGTTCTAACTTTTATTGTATCTTTCTCTCAGTCACAGGAAGAAGTTTGTGATTTGCTGCACGCTGCACCTTTTCAGAACATTCTTCCAAGAGTCCACGTCAAAGGTGAGCACACGAGACAACATAGTTTATTTACGAGTGGAGAGGTCAGAAGGCAAAAGTCTTTATACGGTAGCTTGAACTCGGGTTTCAGAAGGCGAGCAAGGCAACCACCGTGTTTCAGTAATTAATACGAAGCCAGTGGCGCAAATGGTTGTGTAAGTAAGAGAATGAAGTTCCAACCCAAGCTACTTTCTCACAGTTTCAAAGTGGGTGGAAATATCCGATTGTGGGTTTTGGAAAGTTACAGAAATTGCCAGATGTGGCTTCCCCACACAAAGGTGTGAGGTGTTTATTTATATATTTATTTTTTTAACGCTGTTCGACCATCCAACAAGCAATTCTGATAAACTGGCAGCTTAAGGTTTACATTTACTCATTTCGCAGACGCTCTTATCCAAAGCGACATACATTTGAGCAACAACATACAAGCATCAATAGAGCACGAGGTCTACAACTGACAGTACATACTATTAAGTGCAGCATTAAATGCTAGTAAAAGCTAATGGCACGTCTGGCATCAAAGGAGTAAATACCTAGGGGAAGGGAAGTAAGAGTTAACAAAACGGTGCAATCAATACAAGAGAACTGTAAGGGGATAGAAGAAGAGCACAGGAAGTGCATGTTAGAGGTTAGGAGTTAGAGGTGTTATGAGAGGAAGTGTTCTCGGAAGAGATGAGTTTTCAAGAGCTTCTTGAACTTGGAGAGGGACAGCCCTGCTCTGATGGCATGGGGTAGCTTGTACCACAATAATTTTTTTTTTTAACAAATCCTACTTTACCAATGCTGTCTGAACACACTCCCCATTTACTATATAGTGCACTATATGTACTGTCTATTTGTGGTAAATCCATGCTTTAAATAAATCCACATAATGGAATGGTAGTACACCACTTTCTGCTAACATGATGATTCATAAGTGTCTGAAATCTCAATTTACTGATCACTGTTGGGTTAACTATTGGTTGTCTATTATGAGTGAATGAGGGAGCGATTTCAGACAAAACCTAAGATCAGTAATGTGTTCAGTCAGTCACACAACACTTCGACTTCCATGCCCTGTCTGTGGCTTTCAGCTCATTGGTTTCTACTGAAGACGTAAATCTTTCCACTGTAGTTTTTATTAAGTTACTTATGGGAGGAAATTTGTTGGGGGCTGTTTCCAACCGCAGATTAATTTGGTGCTATAGTGAGTGCTTACGGCAACATGACGTGTCTGTGATTTGACTGTAAATAAACTTGTATGTGTTCATGATAATGGATGATGTCGTCTAGTGAAACAGGTCATCGTGTGTTTTTGAAAACAATGGAGCTTTAAGGCCCCAGATGAATAAGCCAGGATCAAGTGTCAGGGTTTGGATTCACAGACATATGAAAAATATAGAATATCCCCAGACTTGTTTTTTCTCTCTCTGTGTGCAGAGGGGGAACGCCTCGATGCCAAGATGAAGCGCTTGGAAGCAAAGTACACAGCACTGCATTTGGTTCCACTGATAGAGCGACTCGGCACCCCACAGGTATGGCCAGTCCAACAAAGTGAATTACACTGCTCAAAAAAATAAAGGTAACACTAAAATAACACATCCTAGATCTGAATGAATGAAATAATCTCATTAAATACTCCTTTCTTTACATAGTTGAATGTACTGACAACAAAATCACACAAATTATCAATGGAAATCAAATTTATCAACCCATGGAGGTCTGGATTTGGAGTCACACTCAAAATCAAAGTGGAAAACCACACTACAGGCCGATCCAACTTTGATGTAATGTCCTTAAAACAAGTCAAAATGAGGCTCAGTAGTGTGTGTGTCCTCCACGTGCCTGTATGACCTCCCTACAACACCTGGGCATGCTCCTGATGAGGTGGAGGATGGTCTCCTGAGGGATCTCCTCCCAGACCTGGACTAAAGCATCCGCCAACTCCTGGACAGTCTGTGGTACAACGTGGCGTTGGTGGATGGAGCGAGACATGATGTCCCAGATGTGCTCAATTGGATTCAGGTCTGGGGAACGGGCGGGCCAGTCCATAGCATCATTGCCTTCCTCTTGCAGGAACTTCTGACACACTCCAGCCACATGAGGTCTAGCATTGTCATGCATTAGGAGGAACCCAGGACCAACCGCACCAGCATACGGTCTCACAAGGGGTCTGAGGATCTCATCTCGGTACCTAATGGCAGTCAGGCTACCTCTGGCGAGCAAATGGAGGGCTGTGCGGCCCCCCAAAGAAATGCCACCCCACACCATTACTGACCCACCGCCAAACCGGTCATGCCGGAGGATGTTGCAGGCAGCAGAACGTTCTCCACGGCGTCTCCAGACTCTGTTACGTCTGTCACATGTGCTCAGTGCGAACCTGCTTTCATCTGTGAAGAGCACAGGGCGCCAGTGGCGAATTTGCCAATCTTGGTGTTCTCTGGCAAATGCCAAACATCCTGCACGGTGTTGGGCTGTAAGCACAACCCCACCTGTTTGTTTCTGACCGTTTGAGCAGACAAATGCACATTTGTGGCCTGCTGGAGGTCATTTTGCAGGGCTCTGGCAGTGCTCCTCCTGCTCCTCCTTGCACAAAGGCGGAGGTAGCGGTCCAGCTGCTGGGTTGTTGCCCTCCTACGGCCTCCTCCACGTCTCCTGATGTACTGGCCTGTCTCCTGGTAGCGCCTTCATGCTCTGGACACTACGCTGACAGACACAGCAAACCTTCTTGCCACAGCTCACATTGATGTGCCATCCTGGATGAGCTGCACTACCTGAGCCACTTGTGTGGGTTGTAGACTCCGTCTCATGCTGCCACTAGAGTGAAAGCACCGCCAGCATTCAAAAGTGACCAAAACATCAGCCAGGAAGCATAGGAACTGAGAAGTGGTCTGTGGTCACCACCTGCAGAACCACTCCTTTATTGGGGGTGTCTTGCTAATTGCCTGTAATTTCCACCTGTTGTCTATTCCATTTGCACAACAGCATGTGAAATTGATTGTCAGTGTTGCTTCCTAAGAGGACAGTTTGATTTCACAGGAGTGTGATTGACTTGGAGTTACATTGTGGTGTTTAAGTGTTCCCTTTTATTTTTTTGAGCAGTGTATATAGAGACCAAATTGTCAGTTTTGTTGCTGATCTCAGTATTTTGTGACGAGAATCCTTCACTTCTCTTTCAGCAAATTGCCATTGCTCGTGAGGGCGACCTCCTGACCAAGGAGAGACTGTGCTGTGGTTTGTCCATGTTCGAGGTCATCCTCACACGCGTGCGAGGCTTCTTGGACGACCCCATCTGGCGTGGACCGCTGCCCAGCAATGGCGTGATGCACGTGGACGAGTGTGTGGAGTTCCACCGTCTCTGGAGTGCCATGCAGTTTGTGTACTGCATCCCTGTGGGAGCCCATGAGTTCACAGTGGAGTGAGTGCAGCAGGACACGCATCTGCACCACATGTGACTTAAAGCACCACATCTTCACTCAAACACTCCCTATCCCTGTTTTCCAGGCAGTGCTTCGGAGACGGCCTTCACTGGGCTGGCTGCATGATCATTGCCCTCCTGGGACAGCACAGACGCTTCGACATCCTCGACTTCAGCTACCACCTTCTCAAGGTGCAGAAGCATGATGGCAAGGATGAGGTCATCAAGAGCGTGGTGAGTTGGAGAGGCGATGATTTGCAAGACAGCCATATACAATGGCAGTTCATCACATGACATGGTGATGCAGTCATTCAGTACAGTCATTTCTTTTTATCATGAGGCAGGAGTCTCATAGTAATGACATTACTCCATTACTGCACTCAGCTAAGAAATACTTCAGAACATAACAAACAAGAGATAACATGTTAATTAGTGAGCATTACAGGTGCTGGCAGGTGGATTTTGTTACCTTTTAAAAAGAGCCAGGCTAGCTGTTTCCCCCTGGTTCCAGTATTTATGTCAAGCTACTGTAAGCTATAGCTGGCCGTAGCTTCATATTAAGTATACATACATTAATGGAATCGGTCTCATCTTGTAGGCCCAGAATCCATATAGAGCATCATAGGACACAGACCAGCCCTGGAGAAAAAACTGTTTACTGGTTTTCTTTAATGTTTCTGTACAAGATGAACTGCTGATTTACCAGAACTTAACTAAATGGGCATCCTATTAAGTTGGGAAAAATCTTTTTAATCACAAGATACTCAGTGTATTTGTATTTTTTGCTTCCCTTTAGCCACTGAAGAAGATGGTTGACAGAATCCGTAAATTCCAAATCATCAACAACGAGATTTTCGCCATCCTGAACAAGTACCTGAAGTCTGGAGATGGAGAGAACATGCCGGTCGAACACGTCCGATGCTTCCAACCACCGATACACCAGTCACTCGCCAGCAGCTGAGGTGCTGCTGCCACTGTCGATACTGTGGACCAGTGTGAAGTTCCGAACACTGTTAGCATTACCAGACTATCCACACATATTCCTCCTCATTTACTTTGTCTTTAGTAGCAAAGGACCATTAAATGTAAGGAACTTCGGCCACTGTTATTTTTTGTATTCACCTGTGCCTTATAAGAAATGAATAGATATTTCCCCTTTTTGGATGAACTACTCTGTTTTATACTTGCAGAAAGCTATAGATCAGGGAAGGGAAATTAGTTTTATCAGATAAGTATTTAAGGGTTTGCAGTGGTGGAATGTTAAGGATGAACAGCAACCTGTTTTTAAGTGGGAGGGGGGGGGTTCAAGTAAATTTGTATTTTCTATATTGTTAAATATGCATGCTAAACATTTTAAAGGAAAATGAAAAGTAACAAAGCTCATACTCATGTTAAGCATTTATTCACTGTGCCTTCTTTCAAATGTTTTAATCATTTTAATTCAATAAATATGTAACAAAGATGTTGGTTCATCTCAAGAGCTTTTCATTGAAACAAAAAGTTCAGAACAACTTCCAACAAATATTGTTGTTACTTTCAAGTATCACGAAAACTCAAATCATAGTGACTGTCCTGTTTTAATGTGGTCATTGTCAACAGGACCTCATATAGAATATATTAAAACTTTTATCTTGTTTTATAGAAAGTAAGTCAGTGCATGAATATGCATGTACATATAACAAAACATTTCTTTAAAAAAACTCATATTTACAGCGCTACAGAGGAATGAAATTAAGTTCTAACTGAATATGAACAGGTCATATTCTGAGAAAAGTAAGGCAAATTAAAACATTAAATACAATCCACTGGTCTGTCCAAGTCACTTTCCCAATACAGCTGATTGTCTTACTGTTTTCATATACCATAACAATGCCACGATTGGTGAGTCAGTACGGGGCAGGAAAAAAAGAAGTTCCTTAATGATCCAATGAGGAAGTCATAGCCCCATTTCTTCTAGAGACGCTATCAAAAGGTAAGCTCATTTCTCTGTCCTCCATGTCCTCAGTGTGTAGCATTTCGTATGTGCTGTGTGGCGCCATGCCGTTGGCTGCGGGAAAGGACCGTTCTTCCTTCCTCATGGACACAGCGAGTGTAGCCAAGCTAACGCTAACGTCTTTGAAGGCATGAAGCAAGAAGATACCCACGATGATCGTGAGGAAGCCACTGAGTGTGCCGATCACGTCGTCTGTGCCCATGTGCTCCCACTCCTTGAAGAGGATAGCGGAGCAGGAGAGCACCGATGTGGTGAAGAACACGTAGTAGATGGGAGTCACCAGGGAGGTGTTGAATATGTCCAGAGCCTTGTTTAAGTAGTTGATCTGTGTGCTCACACAGGCCACTAAACCCAAAAGCAAGATCCATGCCAGTGGGTTTCTCACTACGTTTGTCCCGGCGATTGCTTCCTTGATCGCAATACCCAGTCCTTTGACACAGGACACAGACAGTGCCCCAATTACTGAGCAGATGGTGATGTAGACAAGGATATTGGTCTGACCATGGCGGGGACCCACAACAAATATGAAGATGAGGGCCACAATGATGACCAGAGTGGCAAAGATGAAAAACCCTAGGGAAAAAGGTGTACGGGGTGTTAAACTGGACCAAAAAAGGCACCATTTTGATATTGAATAGCTGTATTTCATGTATTTGGCTTCAGTGTTTTAATAGTTTAGTTATGAAGCATGACTAAGGCAGGGTCTCTGATGTACACTTTTGTTCTGTACCTGGGTCAACCAGCTTTTTGGCCATGTGCTCGAGGCTGCTGATCTCTTCCTCTTGTGGAGCATGAATTACCATGGTGGTGGAGCCCAGTATGCTGAGCAGGCAGCCGAGCTTCCCGTGCAGGTTTAACCGCTCCGTCAGAAAGTACGACGACAGCACCGCACTGCAATGACATTTACAGCCACAGTGACTCCACTTTACAAATCCATTTCCAAAGGTAAGGGGAAAAAGTCAATATAAGAAAGGTTTAAGTGTCCAAATAATGTAGTGAGTTATCTGTACCTGACAAGCACACTGAGGGCTCCCAGTGGGGTGACCAGAGTTGCAGGAGCGAAGGCATATGCTGCGAAGTTGGCTGCTTCACCAGCTCCCACTAAGTAGGATTAAAACACATTAAGTTATCAAATATGAAAAGGATAACTGTGTCGTAATGAAGACAGACAGAGGTTAACACTGAAATACTGTGGTTTAAAGTGTTTTGTACAATATTAAGTAAAGATAGTCTTTCATGTAAGCGCGGGTGTGGTAATTTGGTCAGGGCAAAAAAACCATCAAGATGTCTATGTTAAAACTGGGTTTAAGGTTGGTTGAAATGTATTTTTAGACATCTAGGCTGGGTATAATGGTTTAGCAGCATTCCAGTGATATTTTTAAATGAACAAGGAGGGCCTACAACACCAATTTTAAAAAAGGTCCTGGAGAAACAACAGTTACATGTAACCTAGACGTCTGAAAAAACATGTTTTCAACCTACTTTGGCCCCAGTTTTAATCTCATCATCTAAGTTACCCTGTAATTCACCAGATCCATGGCCCTGTATCTACCATAACCATTTTAACTAAAGAGTGTCATCACTTACTTGATAGTAAACCAGCCCACCATAGCCATTCTTTTAGATATGCATGACCACCCTGGCCTGAGGAGCAAAAAAATACATCTTTTAGAGCATGTGATTTTTGCATGTATGTGTATAATCATCACAACCACAAGTCATAAACTGAAGGTCAAGTGAAATGCTGAAGTTAATGATTACTAGATGCGAAGTGAGTGCTGATTATTCATACCCATATGTATACAAACACACACCCAGAGGTGAGCAAAACTAAGCAAACCTGAAATTAAGGTGTAATCTTGTGTCTTAGAAGCTGTCCCCACTGGTTTGACTACTTAGCTGGGTTTCGGTGTTGCACAACTAGAGCAGTGTGCCATAACTCAGGTGACACAGTTGGACAACTTAGTTTAGTTTGGAAAACCTTTGGAAAAGGTCATTACCTGCCCGCATCGATCCTTTCCGTGCCAGCCTCAGAAGTCCTTTCTTTTTGAGGATAAAACTGCCTCCGATGAAGATGCTGGAACTGATGGCCAATCCCAGACCGATGTAGAAATCATACTTCCCTCTGTCCTGACCCATAGCGAGGCTGGATGCGTTGATGTGGTCTGTCACATTTAAGACCAAACACTGCAGATGCTGACCAAAAGTACAGTTCTGGCCAGCCCAGACACCTGAGAGCAGAGCACATGGAAGACAACAAAACACGTTTCAGCTGCTGAGGGAAAAAGTCAAAAAGTGAGGCCTTTAAGATTAGTTTAACAGCGGTGACCTACCGTTTCCACAGGAGATATTACAAACTGCTAAACCATCATTTAACGCGGTGAAAAAATCCATCAGAGTAACAGCACATTTAGGACTATCTACTCTTACTACCGCCTGGTCCCATACAAACACACAGAAGTGACAGTTGAGTGGCCAAGCGGTTGTCTGGGCGCTGTACACACGAAAACTCAACCAGCTGCTATCTTAAATTTCTTGATTCAAGTCACAGGAATTCAGGAAGTAACTCGCCATAGATGTCTACGTTAACCTGGGCACGCGCCAGGTGCAGCTCGTGAACCAGCTAGCGTCAAGTCGCCCTTTTCCCTTTAACCGTAAGTCCCACTGAGACAAAGAAACATCTTTTACACGAGAGACCTGGCCAAGGCAAGAGCCATACAATAATTACAACGTATTAAAAAAATAAAAAGCAACAACATGATAATCCACAGTGAAACAGAAGACAAGCTATTCAAACAGCGGCCTCTCAAGAAAAACAAGCACATGACTCCATTTCTTTATGGCGCCTTTAACGTTAAATCGTCAATTTATATAAATATGTCCAATATTTGGTCTTTTTTTAGATTATTCCATACCCAATGTGCATAGTAGGGAAATACAGTTTTCCCCAGATCTGTCAAAACATTACATTAAAGAGCCACCACTTAAGAGGAGCGAGGCAGGAAACTAACGTTACCGGAGTTGAGACAGAGAAGGGTACAGAAGTAAGAGAGAAGTTTACCCAATATTTTATAATAACCCGGCTATTGCATGTTACTACACTATTCTCGGTGCCAGCAGCACTTTGGTGGTGCCACGGCGGTACAGTTTGATAATTTCACGAGTGCTTATTTGTCGGTCTCTCCCTCGTTAGCCACGTTAGCTTCCATTAGCGCGACAGCTAACGTTTATGTCTGGTTGGCAAGCGAAGTCACTCGGCGTTAACCGGGAATATCGGTTAGGTTTGAGAAGTCCTAATGAGAGTTAAATACCTGTCCGAGGGTGGCTGCTTCCCCCAACAAGAAGAAAGTGGTAGCAGCTAGAGGCTAGCTAATAGCTAGCATGCTTCCTGGCTCCGTGGCTGACCATCATCTCATACTGCGCTCTCCACGTTCAGCCAGCACCGACACCGCTTGACGACTTGCCGCACTGCGAGGCTCTTCTGCTCGTGACACAAGCTGTGACCGCTGAACTGTGAGCCCTCCGCAGGCGGAAGTCCAGCTCCACACAGATTAGATAGTACATACACATACACTGGAGCAGAGTACAAACCAACACTTTGTAGTAGATTTTTATTGGAGTCATTTCACACTGTCAGTTATGAAAACTACAATTAGTAGAGTGATTTGAAAATCCTTGTTTATCCTAAATCATTCATGACTAATAAATAGGGACTACAGTATTTCAACAACCACAAATGTGAGGGAAATTAAACATATTAGTTTATTGACAGCGTGAACGAATTGACTGAATGGTTTATTATAAATCTGTTTTCTAATTGCCCAAAGGTGTTTGGTTTAGTTTCTACACGCTCTCCAAAAACCTTAAAGTGTATTCAATATCTCTAAACAGTAATTGTATGAAAGGCAAAGCCAAGATATTTTACAGGTAATTGTGATATGTAACTACTTTGATTTAGTTTAATACTTTTTAAATTAGGCAAAAAAACCAAACCCTTATCAAAGAAAATGACTCACATAGCTTGTAAAGATAGTGTATCGTTCATGGTCCTCTCATGGTGCGACAAATACATGCCAAGTTACCATGATATTTAAGTAAAGTTCATATTTGGTACATCAGCTTTACAAATTTCCCCATTAGACAAACCATTGAGTCCTTGTTGACACTTATCTTCTATATAACCGCTGCACTAAAGAGACTTCCTCTGAAATTTCACTGAATAATTAACAGGCACACTGAATAAGTCAAAGTGAAGGCGATTCTACACTGAAACAGTCTAGCAGTGGGAGAAAGCGAGAACATTCAAGGGTCCATTAGAGCCCTGAGGTCAACACTCCAGATGGAAGTAAAAACAATTATTTTCTGTTAATTTTTAATCAATTAACAAATGTTTTGTAAGCCTCTTTGTAATTATTTGAAGTAAAAAAAAAATTCAGTTGACAAATGAGCTGTTCCCTAGGCCATAAGCTGTGAGGTGAAGTGTCTCACGATGATGATCAGTAGCATTAGTGAGTATTAATGGAATTAAAGAAGGAATCAATATCTAAAGAACCTAGGGTGATATTTCTGGGTTACATGGTAACAAATAACTGTTCCATAAGAAACTACAAGGAGTAAAATGTTAAGTCAAAGTAGTTATAAATACACTGTAGCTTTGGCCATTTAAACTGGAATTGGTATAACTCAAGTATAGACTGTGTTATAAGAAATACAGTATGGCACAAAAGTCATGTAAATATGAAGGCATCTCCATCAGTCTGTCTTCTTCTTCCAAATGATCAAAGCCTCTTGGGAAATGCGGAGCAAAATTACCCCGACACACACAGTTGTCAGACCACAAAGCATGGCTAGGCTGTCAGCTAACGTTAGTGCTGTCCACTCCTTGAAGAGAAGAGCAGAGGCAAGAATGACGGTAGATGTGAACGTCACATAGTATATGGCGTCAAACATGTTGGAGCTGAAACACTCCAAGGCCTTGCTGATGAAGAAGAACTGTATCAGGATGCTGACTGCCAGCGTCCCGAGCAAGCCCAGGAACAGAGCCAGTGCTCTGCTGCTCGGGGGCCCCTCTCCAAAGACGTCCTGTGAAACCAGGCCAAGTCCTTTGCTGCTTGGAACAGTGAAGCTTCCCAAGAGGGAACATATGGCGACATACACCATGATGTTTGATGTGCCGTGAACTGGAGCAATCCATACAATTAGTATGACCAGCAGAAGGACCACCAAGAGGGCATACATTACAAACACTGCAGGATGAGAAATGAAATCTTCATTTATAATGCCATCATATTCTATATTTTCAAGGAGAAATAATAGTTCAGAAAAAGTGCTTACTTTGAATCAGTGAAACTAAAAGAGCTGATTGCACATTGACTAATTATTGGCACTTTTTACTGGCCTGCTTGCAGTTCTACAGACGACATTATCTTCATTCATCTTTAATAATTCTGGAGGACACATTTATTAATTACAAGAGTAAAATAACAGCAAAAACACAAACAAAATTGACCTGGATCCGATAGCCTCTCCTCCAACTCCAGTCTCGATGTTACAGCCCCTGCTTTAGGGGCATGACTTATAAGCACAACAGAGCCACAGCAACATAATACACAGCCAAGCTTTCCCAGGATATTTAGATGCTCCTTCAAGATCCAAGAACCCAGCACAGCCCTGCATCACACACAAACGCCACAAAGTACACAAGGCAATGAAAATATTATACAGTGTAGTAGTTTTAAATCTTGACTCTACGTTGACAGAATGAGATTAAAGCAGTTAATGTCATGTACCAAAATGACCATCATACAGATTGAAACTGTATTAAAAATTAACAATTTTCACATTAAAAATGACAGGATAAAGATTAATAATTAACCACAACTTTACTGTGCCTGAGGTGTCTATAGTCATAATATAATTATCAGTGCAACAGATAAAAAAAAAGGAATCCAATTCTTCCTTGGACTTACCCAAATAACACTCCAAGGGCTCCAAGTGGTGTAACTATCACAGCAGGGGCCACATTGTACGCCAGGAAATTCCCAGTTTGACCAACAATCACTAATGAGATTCATAAACAGCTGGGTCATGTAAAATATTCACACAACTCAAGATGCACACAACTCAGAATTTCTAGTGTCAATTGAACTATACACCCAGAGTCGATAGATGGCGCTATACTCACTGGACAATGTGCCACTCCACCACACCACATCTTTGAGGTACGACCTTCCTGGGGTGGGGGAGAGAGTTTAGTTTGTGTGGCTACCACGCTTTACTCAACTTAAAAATATAATGTATGGCTTCCCCACTTCTACCCTTATAGGTAACTCTGTAAGAAGACCTGACATTATGTCTGACATATTATCTGCCGTTTCAGTCAAGCTACCTTTGTCGCGGGAGCGTAATATTCCCTTTTTTTGAAGCACAAATGTCGACCCATTGATGAAACTTGATACTACTGCTATCACTATTCCAGTAACGGGTAATGAACCACTTGGTTCCGAGTCAATAGCCATTACTATGGTGGCTGTTGTTCATTAGCTTTACTGAATGACTGAAGGTCTCCAGTCCTCTTCGTAGTTTGGACCAGGAAGTGAGACAGTGCGCATGTGCGGTTCCTGGAGCACACAGCTGCACCATCCCAGCATTACTCTCACTGCACTTTAATAAAGATTATAAACTAATACTAATAATTCAAAAATACCCCTTTGAGCAAAAGTGTCAGGAATAACTGTCTTAGATCTCTCACTATGCATCTGTCGTGAAGCTGGATTGTCTATAGCAAGACAACAAATGCTTTTTATTTCCTTTGACTTATATTATTATATTGCATATTGTCATTACTGAATCTAAAAACTCAACTCAACTAATCATTCTGTTTTTCAAATGGAAATGTTAACCTGTCAGTCTGTATGACAGATCTTGGCAAAGTGGGTCTGACATACTCTGGTCCTCAATTTGGGCAACTTGGGCCCCTGTCCCATCTGGTAGGTTAATCCCTACTCACATTTCCGACGATTTGCAGAATGTCGAAATCGGCTGTAATGGTAAAACAAGACAACAGCGGACAGTCAAAACAACTAAACTATTAAACTACTGAACTACACAGCATTATTACGCAATATTAATTTCAAAACTGTTTATTCAATTAGATTTATGCATGATTATTATTTTTAAATGTCAAATAAATACACTCGAAAATTAAAAAACATTTAAAACTATGAAAAGTCTGTAGCTAAATGAATTGTCCGTGAAGTTAAGTACTTCCACCCTTTCCTTGAGACACACCGCCATCTAAAGGACAGTTCGCCTTCATTCCGGGCCAACCTCGCCCCTCCTAGGTCCCGCCTCCGATCCAAAAGGAGCGCACATTTTAGGACACCGCCCGGCCCGAGCGGGCGGAGTAGAATCTGTGAATCACCTCGCATTGGAAGCCCCACCTCAGCGTGCTGTTGTGGTTCAGATCAATCGCATTGAATCTCCCGGTTACGGCTACGTAATTTGTTTCCAAGCCTCGTGCCCCAGTCCGCGACCTGTCAATCAAGTCCAATATTAAATACTTGTTAATGCAGCAAAGCAGCTGAGGGGACGAGAATAGCTTGAGAAGAGACCGCAGGTAATTTAGAAATTTGTTGTCAAACGGGACATGTTAAGTTACCTGTTGTGTTGCTGAAGCCGCTGGGACGTTGCGTATTATTCGGTGTCATGCCATAGTAGCCTCTTCATCGTTGCCTGGATGATGAGAGCTGGTTCAGCGTTAGCCAGCTAACGTTGTGTTAGTATTAGCTGTGTAGCAAGCTAAGTTAGCCGTAGCCACCAAGCTAACGTGAACGTTTCCTAGCGTAAGGTGTTGCGTTATGAGCGCACTGATGCTGTGTCAGTGTGTGTTCTTATTACCTACTGGACTAGTGTCTGTTATCGTATATGAAAACCAGGTTATAAACGCGGTATGAACGTGAACAGAGACTGTGCCCTTGCTAGCATTCAGTGCTACGATATTCTCGTTTTCCTCCCCAACAGCTCATGTAACGTTAGAGTTATGGATATTTCTTTGGCCTTAAACTCCAGCGTTAAATATGTTAATGCAGCAAATGCAAGGTACAACGTACACGTTACATTAGTGATTTTTGGATGAAGTTAGAATATCACACCTGTAATTACATGTATAATTGAGAAGGTTGACCCAGTTAAGGATAAAGCATTTTGTATAACGTTACTGCAGCTGAAACGTTCGTGATAAAAGCAGCAACATTTGGATGTAACCTGGTTGCTGTCTGATGTTAGTCTGTGTATTAAAGACCTGTCGTTGACATGATGGGAGTGATTCAGTCCTATGCTTTGAAAGCTGGTGTTGGGCTTCCCTTTTGTTTACAGTTGGATGACAAAATATTGGTTGGTTATGCTGAGTTTGCTTCACTGTGTAAATTCACCAGTTTGAGGTAATCTTTGTGTAAGTTAAATAGAAACTAAAAATGTTGCTAATGCTGTCCAACCTCACTTTATTTTGTCATAGGCAAAGAGCATATCCCTCATTGCTTCACAGGGACTTTATAATGTTATGATTAGCTTCTCCTATGACTGTAACTTATATATGTAACTCATATTATAACGCAGCCTTTCGTCTCTGCATCATGCAGGTTGGCTGCGTTCGCAGCCAGGAGAGGAGAGGGTAAGATGCCTTCTACATCTTTTACCCTCGATGCTCAGCTGAGGTTTCATGACAAATGGCTGAAGATAGACTTACAGGTATGTTCACGTAAATGCATATGAAAATCATTGCTTTTGCAGATTAATCGGACAGCATGATATTCCGTGGGCTGAGTCACATGTTTGAGAATATTCTTTGTCTTCCCCTCAGTTAAAATATGACGTTTTCCTCTATGGTCTGAGAAAATGTTCTTTTCATCTGCATCTACTGTAGCACTCCCAGCTGTTTCTTTCCATCTGTTTCTTTTAGATAGTGATTTGCTTCTAAATTGTCAGTCTGACTGCGTTGCATCATGTTGCGGATATACTGCAAAACCTTTAAACCTTGATGTCTCACTGATAGTGAGCGTCTGTCTTATACCTTTTTTCCAAAACATTTTTGCTACGATGCCATAAAAGTGAATGGAAATTACACTAGCATATAGAATAAGCATCCACAATTCTGCTACTTTAACATGGTCAGAGTTGAACTATAGGGGCTTCATTTGTTATAATAACCTGACACACCTGATCACCTAAGATATCTGCAACCACTGGTCTACAAGCTGCATCAAGCCTCACAGATGATTATTGTTTTTCCTGTAATGTGAAAAGAGGTGTAGCCTACAATATTACTGTAAGTTAGGGGAAAATGTATTTAAAAAAATAGATCTGTGTTGTGAAAACAAACCTATGTGGGTTGTAATTATGAGGTCTTTCATCAATATATCATGGATTTAGAGAAGATCAGGATACAACAGAATTTCTTACTACAGAATAGGCTGTGCAACGAGCTGTCTGCTCTCACCTCCACAAATTGCAGCCTGTCTGTACTCAGCCTGAACTTGAAAATTGGTTTGCACTACCAAATGAGGACTAAAGGAGGGGAAGGGGGTCAGGTTTTCCCATCGTTAGAGCTCTCCCCGGTGCTGAAGGCAGCGTTAGTGTTATCCATCTCGTCTGGTGTCATCTGGAAGGTAACATGTTTTTGACATTTAAGCCTTGAAAACAAGAAACAAGAGTTGGCCTTCCACTTGTGAGCCTTTCTTAATAAATTAAACCATGGATGCTGTATCAGTAGAGCGATGGCTGAGATTTGACAGCAGATGTGTCCTTGAATCTTGAAACCTTGGAACTCATTGATAAAACAGACATTATGTACTCTCAGTCTTCACTTATATTTGATATCTGTTTGTTGGTGTTAGTTTTCTTAGCTGGGTTAAGATGTTTGTGTTTGCTACAAACATTTGAAAAATAAAGATGTGAATACACATTGAACATTTTAAAGCTGAATATTTGTAAATGTTTCTTACTTACTTTGGCAGCGGGCTTTCTCTCCAGAGGGACTGAGTGAGATGTGGAATGAAATGGTAAAAGATGAGGAGATAACATTCAGCGGAGAAGAATTGGCGCACCCAGGTACGACGATGAGAGACTACAGCATTCGTTTGTCCTTTTTACAGATTTACACATTGCTGCCTTGAGTTTAAGATGGCAAGGGCAATTTTTGCACACAATGTAAAGATGTTATGTGAGCCAGGGACAGGGTTGGCATTTAAACCTTGCTGATGGAAATGATAATTAATGTCAGAATTTCTTTTGATTATTTCAGAGGATTGCACTGACTGCTTTGGAACTCAGAAGAAAGATGAGCCCAACGACAAAGAGAAGAAAGAGGAGGAGGAGACCTCAACATCTGTACATCACTCCATCATTGAGACGTGGGACTGGGGGCAGCAGCCAGGTGAGAGGGCTACCTGAACAAGGTCAAGATGTGTCGGGTTACAGAATATCATGTAGCCTGCTACTACGATGCTACCCTGTTCTGCTGTTGTGACTCTTGTTATTTTATGCCTTTCTGTTTCCAAGTAGGGTAATTAATACCATGCTGCTAGCAGATGGTTTCACAACACCTAAATGTCGACTAGATACTATGATACTGACCATTTCAACACATGGCCGACCTCGTTGTTGATCAATTTCATGTCTGTCGGGCCCTGCTGATGTGTGCATGTTTTGCTGGCACGTGAGGTGTGGAAATTCTGAAATGACAACTTGCCGTCTGTAGGTCTCAGCGGTTATTTTTACCCCTCGGAGTGTGATCTTGGTAGACGTTATAATGTGGTCCAGTGCTGGGGAGCGTCTCTCACCCAAGCTGTGTTTACTAGCGGGACTGGGTGGGACGGTGTTATGGTTGGGGGAGATAAGGATTGGGGGGACAACATGCCTAGTGAATGCCTTGTAGCTACTTGGCTTGCTTCTCTTTCTCTTTTTTTTTTTTTTTTTTTTTTTTTTGTTGAGTTAATCAGTCAGGGAAACACACTGGTCCGATTGTACAGTGAGTGTAACTGGATCGCTACATGGAAGAGTGCTCTGACATTGATGCTTAAAGTTCAAACAAGCATACTTCCTGCTTTTCCAATGAGTGGTCAGATATCTGGAACATGTTGATCTCAGCAGTTACAGCTCAGATCCAGCCTTTTGCTTTGAAATCAGGATGGTGCAGGGACGTATGACAGATTTTCTCTGATTCTTTGCGGTGGATGTTTTTTATAAGGAGTTATTTATCTCCTATGCATTTGGTAGTTCTCTAACGCAAGTTACTTTTTAGCTATGGGTAATGTATAATGAATAGTTTGAGACTTTGTCTGACTGGGATACATATCTGTCCTGACAGCTGAGCACAGCTGACTGTAGAGTGGCTCATACAACCTCAGGCCAGTCTGGCTCACACAAAGCTTAAGTGGATTTCAAACCCACTATTTTGGCCCATCTTGTCTTCCCTGCAGCGCTTCTGTATAGAAGCATAATAAAGCATTTTCTCTTGAACCAGATCAGAACAAAGGACTGGTTGTGATGAAGGCCAGTGGGGAAAATATTGAATATGGTGAATTTTCTTTTTGCAATAAGAAACAGCCAA